AAGGCGCCGGCCTTACATCTATAGATACGGCCCGCGCCTTCTGAGAAGCAGGGGTGCTTCTGAGAAGCCCTGCACCATCCCCGCACCCTCCTCTGCGCGTGGCCGAAATGTCTGCCGAGCTCCTTCCTCGGCGGCGGGGGCCGGGCGGCGGAGGAGGGAGGGCCGGGGGGCCTGCGAGGCAGGCGCGGTGGATGTACTCCTGCGCGGTCGCGGGCACGCCGACATTGACAACGAGCGCCACGCTGACGTCCGCGCCTCGCCGGGGGCGCCGTCGGATCGGGATGCCGGCCGAGCCGTCCACGCAGCTTCGCGCGCCGCACGGCGCGACGCGCGAGGATCGGTGCGCTCGGGCGCGCCGCCCAGAGAAAGGGCACCTCTCCGGGCCCGGTCGCAAACCGCGGTGCGGGAGACCACAAACCACCGATACCGCTAATCCTCAGGCCTCTCCCAGGGCGCGTTCTGACAGAGATTTCAGAGCGAATCCAGAGGGGGCCACGATGGCCTCTCAGGAGGACCAAAAAGGTACCTTTTCCTGCTCTGAGCGTTTGTCTTCGAGCTGCTGTGGTCCCTCCGTCCCCCTCCACCACATGAGCCATACCACGCGCAACGCATCGCTTGGGCATAGGCCCAGAACAGGTTTTACGATGCAGGAATCGTCCCCGTGACAGGGAGCCTGTACTGGTTCACAGCATTATCGTTCGATATGGGTAAGGGGGAAGCAGAATGCATGGAGGCATCGGGAGCATACCAATCAGCGGCTGCTGACTTCATCTGAAAATACTCACTACTGTCTCAGCTTGAGCGCCTTACTGGATCTGAAGTGTCCACATCAGGGATCCTTTCATCCTCCCTCGATCCTCCTGTTCCTCCTCCTCATCCCGCCTCCTCGTCCCTCATCCCTGGTCTCCCTTTTACTTCCTTCCTTCTCCTCCTCCCGTATAGCGGAGCGCCTCCTCCTCCTCCTCCTCCTACTCCTCCTCCTCCTCCTCCTCCTCCTCCTCCTCCCGTATAGCGGAGCGACACGAGCGAGGGCGTAATGCAACAGAAAGGACAAAGAAGCGAAAAAAAAAGGGTAGGTGGCGAATACGGTCGAACACTTTTGCTTCGTGTTCCGCGTTGGCAACCCCGGCGACACGCTGTGCCCTGCGAAGGGGTAGCTTGTCGCTCCGCTCCGCAGTTCGGGAAGCTGGGAAAAGCTCGAGGAGGAGGAGGAGGAGAAGGAGGAGGACGAGGAGGGAGGAGGAGGACGAGGAGGAAGAGGAAGAGGAGGAGGCGAAGGAGGAGGAGGACTAAATGGGCGAAGTGCAAAGCGACCGAGGAGTCGCGCGGAAGGGGAGGCCGACACCTAATCGGAGGAGGAGGTGGAGGGGGAGGGCGGCGGCACGGGCCTGGATGAAGAAGCCGTCGAGGCGCTCGGCGCACCCTCGCTAACGGCCGCCCCAGCCTCAAAATCGCCGACCGACTCCTCCCCTCTCTCCACCTGGACCCCAGACTCCTCCAAGGCGTGCACCGCCGAGACAAACTCCGAGGCCCCTCCAGCTCCCTCGGGTGGGGGTCCAGGGGCCTGGGACAAACCACTGCCTCTTACTAGTGCACGAGCTCGAGCCTCTTGGGCGGCGTCTCGGTGCGCCGCCTCAGCGATGGCCCCCGAGAGGCCCTTGTGGGAAGGATGCAGGCCCCTGGCAATCCGAGCAAGGACCTCCTTCCCCTTGGGACTCGGCTCGCCACACACCTGCAAAAGGTTGACAAAGCGAAACGTAGCGTTGGCCCCGCAATGAGAGCAGAACAAAACCCGCCAACGCGGGATCTCTAGAAGCTGGTGTGACGGATGGGCCTCTTGGCCTCTGAGAGTCCTCCCCCGAGCCTCCACCACCACCGCCTCCCCGAACCGACGTGGGCCCTCCACGGTCAAAGACCCCTGAGTGGGGGGCGGGCCAGGACACTGCGTGAGCGCCGACTCGTCGAGACGGCAGTCATCAACGAGAAGCTCGCACTTGGCACAGCGCCACTTAGCAGCACAACGCTCGAACGTGTGAGTGGAGGCTCTCAGGCAGAGGGCACGAGTGGACAGCGGGGCCTGACGAGCGACGCCAACTCTCACCCCACGCAGGACCTTCTCAGGGCCAATACTCTTGATGATGGCCCTTGCTCGGGCACGCACCAAGGCCGCCGTCGCATCCCACTGATCAGTGCAGGGGAGGGGCTCTCGCGCTGCCGTCCAATTCTTGGCAGCTCCTTGGCCTGCCCATGCATCTGCCACAATATTGCCACAGGCGTAAAAAGGGTTGGTGATAGCCTCTGGCGTCTCATCCTGATGGGGCGGGGTCCACACCAAGGCCACATCGCGTCCAGGTTGCTGCTCCAACGCCCTGCGCAGCCTGGCCCAAAGATCCCAGTTCTTGAGACGCCGGGACCAAGCTCCAAGGGGCCTCCGAGTCCAACCCTGGCCCCACCCATTGAGGAGGGGCTTGTGATCGGTCACAAACGTCAGAGGCCCCGAGCTGTCTTCAACCGCAACACAACGCGCCAATAATTCAGCTCGCGGAACCGTTTGCCGTCGGCCTTCAAGCGGGCCGAAGAGGCCAGTGTGGCCTCGCCAACGACCAGCCCCGTCTGGGACGAGCGCCGCAACCGACCATCCACATCGGCGCCTCCGAGGATCATCCGAAAAGGCTCCTCCAGAGCCGTCCCCGAACAGAGTGAGGCGCCCATGAGGGTCTCTGCAGGCTTCCCAGCGGGGCTTACCTTCATAATCAGGACCCACCACCTCCACCCCACCCCCGTCCCACGAGGCAAAGGAGGGAGTAGTGGAGGAGAGACTGGGCACACCTCTAAGCCAAAGGGCGGGGTCCTGCTCCAAGCCCGCAAGGGCCTGGGGGACCAAATGATCACTAGCAGTGACCTCGGGGCCCTCATTCGCCGAACACTTCCAAATGCGATGGGAAAGATCCTCAATGGCCCCAGAGCTGCAACGATCACACAAGCGATTGACTTGATACCCAACCTGATGGAGGCGCTCACGAGTCCACTGGCCCCCAGAGACCACGCAATTGTTCAGTGCCAGTGACGATATTTTTCCCGAAGCGAGGAACCTCCGCTGCTCTATCCTGATCATGGTCAGGTCGGCCCCGCAGGCGAGGGAGGCGCCGTGCTCGTGCGCCGCCGCCGTCGCCCAGAGCCTGCTCTGGCGGTCCCCCGCGAGATCGTCGAGGACGGACTCGTAGTCGAGGTAGACCAACTCTGCTCCGTCGTCTGGGAGTGCCCATTCCTCCAAGTATTCTTCGTGAACCCGTTGCCAGCAGTCAGCCGCTTTGGGATCCAAGCCTGCTTCCAAGAGTGTAGCAATAGCGGCCCCAGTCGGGCCCGTGACGTAAGACCAGATCTTCGGGCCTGCAATGGTCAACTTCGTCTTCAGCAGGGCCCACGTCCGTCGAATGCGCTGATGGAGGTGAGGCTGGTCTTGCCAGAATCTGATCCACTGTCGTAGAGACTGCGCCCGAAGCTGGACTCCAGGATCCGCTCCGTCGAACGTGGAACCGAGTAGCGTGGTTAAGCAGCGCCCCGCAGCTTGACCAGTGGCAGCTGCTGCTGCCTGCCTCCTCCATCTCAAAAGTGCATGCCGAGCCAATCCTCGCACTTGATGGCCATGGACTCCCTGAGGCAGAGAGCCTGTGACCCAGAGGCCCCTGGCTATACGTGCCTGCTGAGCTGTGTTGCGCATCTTCACTATGCGCTTGGTCCTGGTGGTAGCCGCCCGAGCCCGTTCTCCAGCTTTCTTCTGGACTCTGCGCGTGCCCGCTGCCATGTCGATGCCCAAGTCGGTGGCCGTCGTCGTAGCCGAGACAGGCGCTCCACGGCGTCGAAGGTTGCGCTCCAACTTCACGCGCACTTGCTTGTTGTTAGAGAGGACGACGGTCTTGTCGGAGACAGGGAGCTCAGCGTGATCCAGAGCAGCCTTCAATTCAGCCCCCGCCTTAGTCAATTGCTGTAACACTGAGGCTGCCGTGCCCTCCGACCTTGCCACCGTGTCGTCCACAAAGGTCCACATAATAGCTCCCTCCGCTCGTCGCTGGGCGCGCGTGATGATGGGGAGCACGAACAGCCTCGCCAGTATGACACCACGAGGGGAGCCCGCAACAATTCCTTGGAGAGCGTAGATGGGCTCAGCAATCCAGCCCTGCGCTCGCAGAAACCTGGGGCTAAGAAAAAGCTGAACCTCCAACAGCAGACAAATGGCAGGAAACTCCTCATCCAATCCAACCTCGATGAGCCTAGCCAACTTTACATGATCATAGAACTTCGCCAGGTCCATTAGTAGGGTGCCAACTGTCAGGCCCATGGTGACCGCCGACTCGTCTAGAAAAGCTCGATGCAGTGCTGCAGAGAGGGCCGATGAGCCTTTCATCGCCGTACACCAGAAGTCATGCAATCCATCGCTCCACATATCTGAGGCGGATCTTCTGATACGACTCCAGGTGCGGGCAATGTGAGGGAGAACACCTAGCACTCGATCACCTCCTGCTTTCTTCGGCGCCATGGCCGCCAGTGTGGCCATGACCTGAGGAGGCCAGACACCTTGAGTCTCGATGACGTTGAGCATGTCAGTGTACTGCTGGAGGGCCACATCAGGTAAGCGCAGCATACCCCGTGGCCCCATCATGTCCACACCCTTCGCCTTGGAGCCTGGCATGATAGACAGGATGCGCTTCAGCTGCTCTAGATGGATGGCATCAGGGGGTCCCCCCTAATCTGACGACGAGCCTTATCCAGAGCATCCAGAATATGCTGCTTGGACTCGCGAGGTGCCCAAACCTTCTCCCACTCCTGTCGCTTCGCGTCCATGATCAGGTTCGGGTTGGAGACCGTAGCGCCACTGATGTAGATCTCGAGCCGCTGTTGCTCCTGCGGCTTGACCTGTCGATGCAAGACACCAGGCTTCGCCTTCCACATGTCGGCCAGCCAACCCGAGTACTTCTTCTTGGACTGGTACGAGGCATGGGCGGCAGCGCGGCCTGACCAAGCCTCAGTGCGGCATATGAGTTCAGAACGTTCGTCGTCGTCGTCCAGAATCGTGATAGTGCGTACCAGCTCAGACCATCTGAATACCTCATCCTCCTCAACCTTCGGCAGCAGTAAGTCTCGCTGCCCGTGGAAGTCCGTGACCCTCCGATGCAATAGGGTGAGGTTAGACCTTACGAGGTTCTCATGCTTCTGATGCTTGCACAGCGCGAGAATCTTCTTAACCAACGTCAAGGTAATAGCCCACCATTCTGCAGGCTCGTGCGTTATGCGAGTCCGTCCAGGGCAAGCCGCTGTCTTCTTCCATTGGAAGTGAACCCCGTTTGCTCTACCAGAGTAGGCGGCTTGCTTCGCTTCTGGAACAGCATGATGATTCAAAACCGTTGCCTCAAAGGTCGACATCCACTTGGCATAGTGGATCGATGCAAGCGTGGTCGCCTCAGGGTCCCTCTCGTGCAGAAAGTGAGGAGGTAGACCCCAAGATAGATCAGATGGCCCCGGTTGGGCCGCATTCGTCCTGGCACCTCCAGGGCCCGCGGGACCTGGGCCATGTTTTCCTTCTTTGTGTCGAGCAAAAGGTTTGGACAATGGGTCAGTCACGTCCATGTCAGCAGCTGTAGCAACCCCAGCAGCACAAGCCCCGACCTTGCCGAACAGCTCTAAGGGGGGCGAGCACGCTCCCACGATTTGAGGCCCGTGGCCACCCGTATGGGCTCTTGGGGTCCCCGCCCCCCATTAATGGCATACAATCCATCTCCTGAACCATCCCAAGAGAGACCAATGGGGCCCCCTCCAGCAGGCGAGTCCTCCCTGGCGGGTGCTGCGAGCCTGCCTTCTCTGGGGGCCCAACCGTGTCGTAGGTGTTCAGCGCGCCATTCACGTCGAGAGTGCTCAGCGTGTCTCTCAAAGGGTCAGTCGCGTCCATGGCAGTATCTGTAGCAACTCCATTCGCACCAGCCCCGACGTTGCCGAGCAGCTCCAAGGGGGGCGAGCACGCTCCCACGATTTGAGGCCCGCGGCCACCCGTATGGGCTCTTGGGGCCCCCGCCCCCCTTAATGGCATACAATACATCACCTCGACCGTCCCAAAAGAGACAGATGGGGGCCCCTCCAGCAGGCGAGTCTTCCCTGGCGGGTGCTGCGAGCCTGCCTTCTCTGGGGGCCCAGGCGTGTCGTAGGTGCTCAGCGTGCCATTCCCGTCGAGAGTGCTCAGCGTGTCCCTCATGTCGTCCTGGTGCCGCCTCCAGAGATCCAGGGGAATGGCAAAGTCGACGCCGCTCACATAGTCAACATCCGCTGCAATCAATGCTGGAGGCGCTGCTGCATCCTCCTGTGACTGGGTGAACTCATCAAACACCTCCTGCAATGTGTCAGGCAATTGGTTGCGCCTCTTGTCTAGCGCTGCCTTCTTCCTCAATGATGTCTTACTGTTAGGATCCGCCTGTCTCTGCGGTCTGGGAGGGCAGGGCAAATCTGCAGGGAGCGCCAGAGCACGAAAGCGCCATGGCTGGGACTCGCCCGCGCATACCTCCAGGCCGCAGTGCGTTCCCCATGGTACATCGTGCACCTGGCGAATGACCACAGACCTCTCCCAGCCGCGCTTCACCGCCGCGTAGTCAATGGTCGAACCCGAGCCTTTATCACACGTTGCAGAACCAGGGGCCACAAGAATGGAGCCACCCCACTCCTCAGGGTAGCCGCTGTCAGCCAGTTGACACGGCGTCATATTCCAATCTGCTAATACAATCCAAGGGTCCGCCAGCATGTCCAAGAAAGCGGTGAGTGCAACCATCCGCTCATGAACTGGGCCCGTAATCGAGTGGTGCGGTTCGATGTAGAAGGCTATCGCGACCAAATTGCCTGTCTTGCGATGCCACGTCATCGGGGCGAAGCCATGACGCGGATCAACTGCATACAACTGGCGGCTCTGGTGACTCATAGCGTCAAAGGTGGATGCAGCCACCGACTTACGAACTAGGACCATCTCTCCGCCCGTCGTGCCCTCTGCAGATCGACCCGTCGGCATTGCATAACATTTGGAGGATATCCAATCATCCTTGTCGATCTTAAGAAACTCCTGCTGCTGTTTGGCCTGCGAGATATGCGTCTCGACCAAGGCCAGTAGCTGATAGCGCTTGCCAGTGGACGCCACCCAACGCTCAGCCTGAGGGCCCCACTCAGTGATGTTCGAGAAGAACAGCTGGGCCTCTTTCACAATAGGCTGAGCGGCGACGGGGCCGGCATCACTACCCCCGCTCTGGCTGAGCAGGAGCACCAGCGCCAGCAGCCAGGCCAGCGGCCTTGGGAAGCGGTAGTAGCTGCGTCTTGGTCTTGGAGGTCTCGGCAGCCTGGCGCAGCGAGTCTTCGGAGAGCGACTTGAGCCACTCGCCGTCCAGCGGAGGCTGAGTGGGCACGGGCGCTGGGGCGGTAGCGGCCCCTGGGGTCGCAGGCATGGCAGGTGGGGCGCCAGCGCCGCCGCCGCGGGCTGCCTCGGCCGATGACGCCTCATCTCCTCCCTCCTGGCGCCTCCGCTTGGCGACGCGCTCCTGGTCGAAGCGCTTGATGGACTCCATGAGGTCCTGGAGCTTCTGCACCGCCGACTCGAGCTGCGGCCTGGCGGCGTCGAACTCCTTCTTGTACTCCATGAATGTCTTGCGCTCGTTCTCGTCCATGTCCGCAGGGTCCGCTGTCTCGAAGATGTCATAGTCGATAATGAGCTTGTTCCGCTGAGGTGCTTCGCGTGCCTGCTCCGTCTGGAGCGTGGAGAGCGCCTTCTGGTAGGCGAGCTCAGCCATCGCCTGCTGCTCCACCTTGGACGCGTGCACTTCTGAGGCCGTCTCAAGGTCGGCGCGAGCCCGAAGCACGCCCATTGCCGCCTTCTGAGTGGCCTGCTCCGTCTTGCGTAGCTCCTGCTTGGCCTTCTGCGCCGCCTCCCAAGCGTCCGTGGGCGGCGGTTTCTTCGCCTGCTGCAGCTCCGTCTGGATCGCAGTTGCCACAGCAGGGGGAAGATCAGCCTTGAGGAGGTCGCGCAACTTCTTCTCATAGGTGTTGGAAGTGTCGTTTTTGTGCCTGGCCACGGAGTTCCACGGCGCCCACAGCTGAACCTTGTGTCCACACTGGCAGACGCAGTCCTGAGCGATGAGCTTGGTGTTCCAGATCCAGTTCTGGCAGCCCTCGCACCGACTCCAGGCGCGGCCATACTTCTTGCCTCCCATGAATGCAGCAACAAACTCAGTGAGGGAGCCCAACTCCTCAGTGGAGGCAAGAAACTCTGTCGGACGCAAGCGTCCTGGCACTGCCGCGGAATAGCGGTATCCGTGAATGCCAATGCGGGCTCAGCCCGCCAAAGCATCGGCCTTGAGCCAAAATGGCTACGGAGGAGGAGGAGGAGGAGGAGGAGGAGGAGGGGGGGGAAGAGGAGGAGGAGGAGGAGGAGGAGGAGGAGGAGAAGGAGAGAATGTGTTGCAGAAAGAACCCAGTCCCGCGCCTGGGCCCAGCGACGCCATGTCGGTGGTGATGAGAACCTGGGCTTGCGGGCCCGCAGTGAAGGCATCAGGCGGAGCAGAACAACGGCAGGGACGGGGGAGGAGAAAGGATGATCGAGGAGAGGAATGGGGAAGGGAGACGAAGGAAGCAGGAGGAGCGGGAGGACGAGAGCAGACGCCTCCTGACAGCCACTGATGCGGACGGCTCTGCTTCCAGGAGCCCGCGCGATAGACCCTCCGACCGAATGATGGGAGGGTGGCTGGAGGTCGGCCCCTCGAGCCCGGCAGGCTCCCAGCGGTGCGCCCGCGGAGGCGGGGCGGCCGAAGGGGGCGGCACGAGGAGCAGCGGGAGATGAAGGAGGAAGGCCTATGGGACTTCTTGGGCAAACAAATGATACCCAAACGTGCCAGTCGGAAGATGTACACGTCGTTCATTTCTACGTCATCGTGCTCATTTCTGATTGTGCTCGTTCCAAATTGTTCCTGGACCACTAGTGGCCAGGAAGACGCCCAGGATAGAACAATTGGACATGAAAAGGGTCTTGGCCCCCAACAAATCAAAGAACCTTCGAACACTAAAAATGAGCAATGTGTAGGTAGAAACGTGACGTGGGAAGGCGGAACCAAGTAGATTGGGTTCTGGGCCCGCCCAAGGAACACAGCGAAACCTTGATTCTTGAACTGGCAAGGCACTCGAAATAGATTGGGACCTGGGAGTGACGACATACACCCACTTTCAACAACCCGGGGGTGCCGAAACACCACGGACATCTCATACGATGCGCTCTGACCCGCATTCGGAGGCGAATACAGCCATGGTGACGAGAGAAGTGTAGTGGCATGAACATGTTTTGTATATCATCTATATGTTCATTATACGGCTTCTTCCTCCTCCTTCCAGGAGGGCTGCGCACTTTTCTCGGGAGGGGCCTCCCAATATATCATTGATGTTGCTCCTCCTAAGTCTGGGTTCTCCTCCTCCGCCTTCCATGAGAGCTGCGACCTTTTCTGGGGCGGGTCTTATCTAAGAGGGGGCAGTGCGCCTGTGCTGTGTGAGTCTCGGCCTCCATGTGTTGCTGGTGGTTTGCTTTGGTGTGCTAGTGTTTGTTATGTTTACGTTTTTTCTGCAATGCTGGGGTGAGCAAAGTCGCGGCCTGTGGGGTGTGAGCTCGGTTGTTTGCACGCCCTCAAACTAATGGGGTTCAGAACCAGAAATCAGTTCCTACACATCCGTGGAAATGTGTATTCGCCTTCGGCGAGCCAATTCTACACATCAGATCACGTAGCTTCTACACACGGCACAGAGACGTGCAGAAACAAAACATGAAACAGAAATGTGTAGAAGGGCAAAACGGACTGTGCTTCTACACCTCACACCGGGAACTGTACACTTGGGTACAACAGCACGTGTTCGCCAGTGTTCGGTTTTCTAGACGGTGGAGATATGAGGGTCTAGCCGCAACCGAAGGTGTGAGCACGGCCTCGGGCTGTGAGCACAATCTCGGCCTCAATGTTGCGTGTGTGTGTGTGTGTATGTGTCAGTGTGTGTGTGTGTGTGTTCGTTTCTGTGTGTTGGTGATCGCCTCGCCAACCAGAACACGTGCTTTGTTTGTGGCTGGTTTTCCTGAGGTGCAACCGGTTGCCCACAATCACCCATCACGGCCTCCTTGAGAGTGCCTGGCTGGCTTCGCAGCTCCTTCCAGGAGGGCACGCTGAGGGGGTGGGAGGGGGAGGAGCAGAGAAAAACTCGCCAGAGAGGAGCTGCCAACCGCGACAAGATGGCCGAGAACTACCCTGGGGAGAATCAGGATGAGGACGACAAGCAACGACGACATAGACGACGAGGATCACGAGCATGGGGGAGCATGTCTCTTCATGTCTACTTTTTTCTCGTCGGCAGGTCATTCGATCAAGGATTGCGTGAGTGAAGCGGGAGCGACCCTCGAGGCCTCCCACATGGTGTCCGAGCACATGGGGTGAACAGATCAAGCTGCATCCGTGACGTGGGCGTTGCATGTGAGCGTTTTCGTATTCGGCGTTTCGACATTGGGCGGAAAAGGGGGGGCTGGGGAGGGTGCCTGGCTCTGGACCTCTGCTTAGAGCGACTGTTTACACCCGTGCGTCCTGTAGGGGAGGGACTCCGCCTGCTCGAAACAGGCGCGACAAAAACAGCCATGATCTACTCCAGGGGGGTGGGGGGGGAGGGGGGGGGGGGGCGGGCCCGCGCCGATCGGCAAAACAGTTGATAGGAAACGGTCACACCCGCGACGAGGGCATTGCATCGGCGACGTTGGCGTGGAAATGATCGGGCCCCACGTCGGCCGGGGCCGCCCCTGCGGCGCCCGTGCGGCGCGAACTTCCCGACCCCTCTGCTCGGACCCCACTCGTGGGAGACCTGGACACCGGGAAAGCCCAGATCCCCCAAGAGCTGGGCCTCTTCCCGGGTCCGCCTCCTCGTGCCGAATTGTTGTTGGCTGCTTGCCTTAGGTCGGGCATGCCCCCCACAGACAGATTTGGTAGGACAAAGGAAACATGCAACTACGATTCAGAAGTGGCGAAAAAGATTAGAATATTCGTCCCCAGATTATTGCTTGACTATCTTTCTCCTGTAGAGGGACATGCCCGACTGAATGCTTGCGCGCACTGGGGGAGGCGCTGGCGGTGCTGCCAGGGGGGGGCATAGGCACAAGTCCCAGCAACGCGCGCGGACCTTCGAATGCTCAGACTCTCTCTCTCTCTCTCGTCGTCGTCGGAGGAGGAGGAGGAGGAAGAAGAGGAGGAGGAGGAGGAGGAGGACAAGGAACCGACCTCCTCCTCCGATTCCTCCTCCGGGAATGGGGGAGAATGAGGAGGAGGAGGGAGGAGGAGGAGGAGAAGGAGGAGGACAAGGAGCCGACCTCCTCCTCCTCCTCCTCCTCCTCCGAAAAGGGGGAGAATGAGGAAGAGGGAGGAGGAGGAGGAGAAGGGAGGAGGAGGAGGAGGAGGAGGAGGAGGAGGAGGAGGAGGCCTCCCCTGGGCGGCCTGCGGAGCACGAGGAGGCACGCCCCCCTCCCTCCACCCCTGCGCGGCACCGCCCGGCCGACCCCCGCCCTCGCTGCGCCCTGCCGCCTCGGCCCCATCGGCCCCACCCAGGGGCGGCTGTGGGCCACGCGGCACGCGGAGGGAGCAGCACGTGGCCCCCCACCAGCTTCCCCGTCGGCGACGAGGCCGGGCGATCCGCTCCAGCGTGGCAGCGATGCAGGGGCACTACCAAGAGAAGTGGCCGGCATGGCAGGAGGGGGGCGGAGGAGAGGCAGGGCGGCCGCGGGGGAGAGGGGAGGGCGAGCACTCAGAGGCGAGCGCGTGGCCGCGGGCAGAGGCCAAGCCAGGGCGGCCGCACTCTCTCGCGCCTGCGCGTGACTGCTGATGTGCTTAGGTTCGGCCGCGCCTGGCTCGTTCAGAGGAGATGGTCGCAGCAGAAGGGCAACGGGGACGGGGACCCGCGACGCGGGGACTGAGGGCCGCTGCTCCACGGTCCTCTCCTGGGGTGCGGTCTGACGAGGATCTCGAGGCGAACCAAGCCTTGGCGGCGAGGGGAGGTTAGCGGTATCCGTATCCGCCACCGTGCCGCCCGAGGCACGAGCTGGAGAGCTCCTTCAGGTCCCTTGGAGTCCCCAGTCCTCGGTCCCCAGGATTGACTGTGCGCAGACCCCGACCCAAAATTCCCGACTTTTCTGGGGCTCCCGGCGCGCCTGTCGAGGTTCCGCGGTGCTTCCTACATGTCTTTCTCTTTTTCCGGAGCCATCAGCGCTCCGAAACGGGCCAAGACGGCCCCGAGTGGCATCTGACCTGCAAAGAAAGCGCGATTGAAGGATGAGCCGAAGGCAAGCAAATCCGCCGCCGCCTGTGCTTGCCACCGGGGTGCACGGCATGCTGGACTTTGGACGAGTATGGTCCTTCTGTTAGGCCAGGCATGTCCCCATACAGGCGGATTTTGGACGACACCTGGAAAATAGTTTTAAAACATATCCCCAGTAAAAATCGAATCAAAAACTCGTCCTGATACTATCTTTTGACTACTTTGGATTTTTTCCTGTAGAGGGACAGGCCCGACTTAATCCTTGTGAACCTTTCCAATTGGGTCTCAATGGATCGCGCTGGCGCCAAATGAAGACCAGTAGACGTCCAGGTCATCGGATTCCCCGCTCCAGACGGCCCCAAGAAAGCCTCCAAGTCGGCCACATAGGTGCTTCCACGAGGCATGAGGCGGCGATGACTCGCCGCAGGCGTCCTCGATCCTCCCCTTCTGGCACCCAGTCGGCCAGTGGGGCCAAGACCATGCAACGCGGATGGAAATCGGCCAAGGGCCCGTGTTTTTTTTTAATTCGCAATACCTCTCCTGACCTGCCCAAGCGCCCCCCCGCTCCTTGCGCCCCTGGTCACGTCACGATTCGCGCGGGCGCCTTCTAGGAACGAGCCACTCCTAGAAGCATTCTCAGACGGCGCTGGCGCGCATCGTGATGTGACCGGCCCCCTCCCTCCCTCACCTCCATTCCCTCCCAGTCACGCCCGTGGTCGCCAGGGGATGAAAAATATTGCGTCAACGTCGAATCTAGGTACTTCGAATCGGCGCTGAACCCCCCTCCCAGGCGCGCGGCGCGCGCCAGGGGTAGAGCCAGAGGTTCTCCCAAGGGGGGCCAGCGCCGATGCCAGAAAACCGCGCGGAACGCCGAGAGTTGAGGCTTACGAAGTCCTATACGTAGGATCGGGGGGAGGAACCAACGACTCCCTCAATCAATTTAATGATCGATCTCACGATCGATCTCACTCGATCGATCTCGCTATCGATCTCACTATCGCTCTCACAATCGAGCCCACTATCGATCTCATCGTCGATCTCACAAATCCTTTCGGTATCGATCCCACAATCGATCCCACAATCGATCGAACACTCGACCTCACTATCCCTGTCACGATCGATCTCACAAACGAACTTACATTCGATCCCACAATTAATATCACAACCGGTCTCCGTTTCGTTTTGACACCCAATCACACTACCGATCTCATCATCGATCTTACTATCCATGACACTATCGATCTCAATAGCAATCTCACGATCGACCTCATTGACGGTACCCCTATCGATCTCACAGTCGTTCTGACTCGACCGATATCACTATTGATCTAACTATTGATCTCACTGACGAGCCCGCTATCGATCTCACAATCGATGCCAGTATCCCTCTCATAATCACGATCGACCTCACAATCGATGCTGCAGTCGATTGCCATGTGGATCTCACTATCGATATCACCATCGATCCAACTATCGATAGCACTACCGATAGTACTATCGATTGCACCGTACATGCCACAATCGATCTCACTAATGACCGATCTCACTATCGATCTCACTATCAGTTTTACCATCGACCTCACTATGGATCTCACAACCGATCCCACGTTCGACCTCACTATCGATCCCACTGTCGATCTCGCTATCGATCTCACTATCAGTCTGACCAATTACTATCGCCATCGATCTCACCATCGATCTCACGAGTGATCGAAGTATAGATACCACTGTCACTCTCACAATCGATCTCACTATTGATCTAAATCTACTCCCCAACGTCAATCTCACAACCGACCTCACAATCGATCTCGCGGGACACCATGGGACACCACAGGACACAGCGCCACGAGACAGCACGAGTCACAGCGGGAAGCCACGAGACACCACTGGACACCACTGGATACCATCTGGACACCACGGCGGGACACCACGGGCCACCGCTGGCTGAACTGGGGGGCGGTCTTTTAGCCCAGCGCGCCCTAGCAAGTAAGGCTTCATTCCTCTCGCCCGCCCACGCAGCTATACCTATCCCGCGCGCGACACAAACACGAAACCGAAACCGACTCCCCGATGGGAGTCTCTCCGTTCTACTGCGATTTCAACCCCTGACCTCCGATTCTTCGATGATCGCCAGGGGATTAAACAATTTGCTCACAAGGGAGGCGGCCCAGAAGTCTGAACTGGTTGAGACCCCAGAAACTCTGCCAGGAGGGGGGATGGATCCACATCGTCTCGCACTCATCCCGGGACCCCTCAGGGCAATTCTTCAGCCTGGTTCTGCTTCTGACGGTCCTGGGGCCCGAAAGTACGGCTGAAGGCCAAAAGAATGCACAACACCCCCCGAACCCACAAGCCGAAACCCGATCCTGCCACGGCCAGAGCCAATGCAAGACCACACCTCCGACCCCAAGCGGGCCCCCACGCCCATGATCGCCGGGGGATGAGAGACGGGCTCCAGGAAGGATGGGGATTGGTCCCACGATGCCCACCCGCGGGGTCGGCCCGCGCTGCTGATCGACGCCGATTTCACGCGAATCGACGCCAGAGCCACGCCGAATCGACGAAGCGTCGACGCCAGACAAAGAGCATCCATTCCCATCGACTACCACATGCCAGCGCACGTTTGTGCAGTCTGAGAACGGAGTCGCGAGGACATACAAGGCTCTTGCCAGAGACGGGGCGCCGTCTCCTTCTCTTCCTCCTCGTCCTCCCCCCCTCGAGGCCCCACAGATGGGGTCCGAGCAGATGGGCTCGGAGGATCACGCCGCATCGGCGATGCAACGGCGATGCATCAACGACGTCGACGAAGCATCAGCGCCGACGGCGTGGAGAAAACCGGGCTCCAAATCCAGCAGAGTCGGTAGAGCATCGGACATGCGGCTCGGACCTCATCCGGGAGGCCTCGCCGTCCTCCTCCTCCTCCTCCTCCTCCTCCTCCTCCTCCTCCTCCTCCTCCTCCTCCTCCTACTCCTCTCTGCTCCCTCCTCCTCCTCCTCCTCTCCCCCCTCCTGCCCCTCCTCCTCCTCTTCCCCCTCCTGCCCCTCCTCCTCCTCCTCCTCCTCCTCTCCTCCCCCTCCCCTCCCTCCTCCCCCTCCCCCTCCCCCCTCCTCCTCCTCCTCCTCCTCCTCCTCCTCCTCCTCCTCCTCCTCCTCCTCCTCCTCCTCCTCCTCCTCCCTGGCGTGATCGCCAAGGGATACAGCTCACAAAAAACGACTCCAAGGGGGCCCCCCGCGGGGCGCGGCGGCCTGCGAGGCCCCCGCGCGCAGGCTCTGCAGCGCCTCGGCGCGCTCGTGCTCCCCCGAGCCGGAGGGCAGGCGGCGGCAGACCGCGCCGCCTCGCGGGGCGGGGGGGGCGTCGTGCCTGCGCGCCGGTGTTCGGCACACGGTGGGCGTTTCCCTACAGCCGGCCCGTAGCATGTGATGGGCCTGTTTTCCATCACCGCCCCCATGAGTTGGAGGGGGGGAGGAGGTGGAGGACGAGGTGGAGGAGGACGAAGAGGAGGAGGAGGAGGAGGAGGAGGAGGAGGAGGAGGAGGAGGAGGAGGACCCCCTCCCTCTCTCAAATTTATGGTGGTGGTGATGGAACATTTGCCCATCACATAAGGATGCGCGAGAAGGATGCAGGGGCCTCGGGCGTCCAGCTCGTAGCTTCTCGAGTGGGGCGCGGCCAACGAAAGTGGCCAAGGATGGGCCGAGTAGGGAAGGATACCAGGGCACCCTTGGGAAGGTCGCCCGTCCTGACCATGCGGGTTGACTGTACTCGGCGTTTCGACAATGAGCGGAAGGGGGAGGGGGGAGGGAGGCGAGGGGTCTGGCTCTGGACCTCTGCTTCGTGCGGCTGGTTGCAGCAGTGCGCCCTGCGGGGGAGGCACTCCACCCGCTTGAAACAGGCGCCCAAAACAGCCAAGATCTGCTCCTTTTTGAGGGGGTGAGGGCCCGCGCCGATCGGCAAAACGAGGAATTAGAAAATGATCGCCGTGTCTACCCCGACATGATGTGTTTCACGCCAGGGGTATGCAATAGTCGTGGAGGACGTATGAACTGCCATGTGCTGCCAAATCGTGCCATATGCTACGCCATGGTGCCATGTAGCGCCGTGCAGTCTCCTATAATGGCAGATCGTACCCCCCAACTATAATTGCAGATCGTACCCCCCAACGCCGCGCTATCCCGCCACAAATGTCACTATGTGCCCAGACCTGTCCAGCTCCAAGATCAAAGTGAGGCCCTGACATTCAACACATAACAGACACGTTCGCGTCCGGAACGAATCAGGACGGGAGGTCTTTCGCCGTTGTCGGCCTCCGCAGGCCCGTACCTGGCCCAAGGACCGTCAAACAACGACTCAGGATGAAAAGCCAGTCCGAGGGAAAGGGTTGGGACTTCTGGGGGCCCACGTGTTAAAAAGGCTGGGCATCACATGTCTGGGTATGCATAAATGTGAGCGTGCATGCACTCTTGAGGAGCATCCTGAAGCTGGATGGTTTGAGGTCTCGGCCGTCTTGAAGCCATTTTGGGGCGTCTGAGGCCCTGTTGCGCCGCTCTCGCCGCTGAGTCGTGCTCCTTACAGCTCATCTTGGGCAGCCGGGGAAGGCCCGGGAAGCCCTGGATGGGGGGTGATCAAACCGGAGAAGACAAATCTGCTAGGGTGGGGCGGCCTGGTACCAGGCCCCTGGTTCTCCGTAGACATACACGTACATCGGTACATACTCCGTCGACATACAGACCCCGACCCCCGACGTCAAGATGTTTTCAGAACGTCGACCCTGGAGGTCTCGACGCACCCCACGGGACCAATTTTGCATCCTGAGTCGTTCTTCGACGGCCCGGAGGCCCGATCAGGGCCCTCAGAGGTACGAAAAAGCGCCAAACCTCCCGCCGTAATTTTTGCACGACTCGAGGGGGACTGGGTATGTGGCACCCTCGAGTGATGTCGCGTGGGCGGACCCAGCATCTCCTCGCCGCGTGAGCCCGGCCGGCCCGCGCTCCTTCCGCTCTCCGCTGGGCTCCGACTCCGCTGCGACGCTACCCGCCTGGCCGCGATGACAAAGTGTGTGTGTGTGTGTGTGCTCTTGCCCCACGCTGGTGCGGATTGCCTCCTCATCGCCGCCGACGAAAGAAGTGTGTTCCACGCCCTGTCGTCGCGCACAGGGCCGCGACGCCAAGAAGTGTGTGTGTTGTTGGGGTGTGTAGGAGTGTGCGTGTGTATATGTGTGTATGTGTGTATGTGAGTATGTGTGTATGTGTGTGTGTGCGCCCCACCATTGCCAAATCGCTGGAGCAACACTTCAGCCCAGCCGCCAAGCCAAACGGGCTGAACCGAACGGCCATTCACTGTCCCTGGGTGCGTGGCTGAAGTGGAATTCCGCGATGCGTTTTCTTGTTGTTGTTGTTGAACATTATTTCTTCTAAAGAATAATTATTGTAGGGACCCCTGGTGCGCGGCCCCCTCGCCGCGCCTAGGCCGCAGCCACATTTTCATCATTTTCGTGAGGAAGTCTCAGGTAAAACGATGTGATCCAGATCCGGTTGTGTTGTTACGATCGGTTTTCCCTTGCAAAAAATAAGCTAAAGTGGACATTTCTTGTTCTAACATAACCAAACTTCAAGAATCCCTTGCGAAAAAAAGGTAAAGTGGACATTCGCGCGCGCAAGACGAAATCCTTCCAAAACCTTAGTTTTCGTAGCGATTTTAACATAAAAACATCAAAAAACCAATGGTTTTTCAAAAAAAATGTCAAAATTTCATCCCGCGCGCTCTTGCGGATTCGTAGGAAACCCAACACTTTTTAATCATTTCTGTCAAACGGGCTTTTGCGAGCAACTTTTTCGAACTTCTGCAACAACGGTTGCGCACCTGCCAGGGCCATCATCCCTGTCAAATAATACCATGCGGGACACATTCGTTTTTTCTTCGCGCGCGCACGCCGTCGTCGTCGGCCGCGGGGCCCTGAATAGTAGCCACGGTCGTCCGCATGCCACGAAGTGAAGTGTCCGAACGTCATAGGGCGGGAAGCTGGGTGTGGGTGGTGGCGAAGAGTCGTTTGGAAATTTGGTAGAGCTTGAACCGGCCCCCCCACAAAGTGGGGGTATTGCCCGCCTCCTATGAAAACCCTGGCACTGGTGAGAACGGAGTGTCCCCACGTGCTAGTAATTGTTGTTGTTGTTGTTGTTGTTGTTGTTGTTGTTGTGTGTGTTGTTTGTTGATTGTTGTTGTCGTCGTCCCACCCGCGACTCACCTCGCGACCCACCCGCGACCCACCCGCGACTCACCCGCGACCCACCCCGCGACCCACCCAACATTTTCGGCGCCTGCCGCGGGTTGTTGTTTTGCATTCGTTCCACGTGGAGAACCTGCGACCCACCCGCGACCCAAACCGCGCCCGCGACCCACCCGCGACCCACCGCGACCCACCCGCGACCCACCCACGACCCACCCCGCGACCCACCCAAAACGTTCGGCGCCTGCGGCGGGTTTCTTTTGCAGTGGTTCCAGGTGGAGAACCCGCGTTCAGTGTACAAATCAAAATGTTCGGCGCCTGCGGCGGGCTGTTTTTAAATTCCTTCTAGGTGAGGTCCACGAGGTCCGCCGGCTCGACAACCGCGTCGCCCGCACCCGCCCCCTCACTCGTATCCGCAATTGCGGGGTGCTACGTACGTCGGAGTGAAGGAGCCGAACGGTCATTCATAGTCCCTGGGTGCGTGGCTGAAGTGAAAATCCGTGGTGAGGATTCTGCTTGTTACATTGTTTTTGTTGTTTTTGTTGTTGTTGTTGTTGTTGGTGTTGTTGTTGTTGTTGTTTGTTTGTTTGTTTGTTTGTTTGTTTGTTTGTTTGTTTGTTTGTTTGTTGTCGTCGTCCCCCCCGCGACCCACCCCGCGACCCACCCCGCGACCCACCCCGCGACCCCACCCCCCGACCCACCTGCGACCCACCCCGCGACCAATCCGCGACCCACCCCGCGACCCACCCGCGACGCCCTTGCGACCCACCCGCGACCTACCCCGCGACCGATCCACATTGGTTTGAAGAAAAATCGGCGCCTCCGGCGGGCTGTTTGTATAATTAGTGAAACTTTGGTGCCGGCGGCGGGCTGCTCCAGAGTCTCGCTAACTGCCGACGTCCCCACCGCCACCTCACTCATATCCGCATTTGCGGGGTGCTACGTGTGTGTTGTGTGTGTGCATGTGTGTGTGTGTGTGTGTGTGTCCGCCGCGGCCGCCGTCCTCGGCGTGTCGGCGTTTCCGGCTTTCGCGGCCCCGGTCGCCTGCGACTCTTTGCGGCGCTGTCGCCTTCTTGCTCGCTCTCCGCCGTCGGCCCCTGCTGCCCCCCGCCGTCGGTCCGCTCTTGGCTGCTCGTTGTCCCCCCTTCCATCTCCCGTTGGCTTATGTCAACCGCGTAGTTTTCGTCCGCCCACCGCCCTCCCCGCCATCCCAGCCTGGATAGTTCCCCACATTCTAAGTGGGGTTCTGATTTTCTCTACACCCGCGTCGCACCCGCGTTCACCTCACCTGTGGTCCCTCACCACGGTCTCTGTCCGCCCCAGGGTCGCAGGGCGTGGCACGCGTGGCACTTTCTCGACACCATAGGGGGTGCGCAGGGGGTGGTCTCTCACCGCGGCCGCTATCCATGCCGGTCGTCCAGGGCACAGCAGGCATGGCATATTCTCGACACCAGAGGGGGTGCGCAGGGGGTGGTCTCTCACCGCGGCCGCTATCCGTGCCGGTCGTCCAGGGCACAGCAGGCATGGCATATTCTCGACACCATAGGGGGTGCGCAGGGGGTGGTCTCTCACCGCGGCCGCTATCCGTGACGGTCGTCCAGGGCACAGCAGGCATGGCATATTCTCGACACCATAGGGGGTGCGCAGGGGGTGGTCTCTCACCGCGGCCGCTATCCGTGCCGGTCGTCCAGGGCACAGCAGGCATGGCATATTCTCGACACCATAGGGGGTGCGCAGGGGGTGGTCTCTCACCGCGGCCGCTATCCGTGCCGGTCGTCCAGGGCACAGCAGGCATGGCATATTCTCGACACCATAGGGGGTGCGCAGGGGGTGGTCTCTCACCGCGGCCGCTATCCGCCGACGGTCGTCCAGGGCACAGCAGGCATGGCATAGCTGCGCACATATTCGTCGTGAGGGGGTGGTCTCTCACCGCGGCCGCTATCCGTGCCGGTCGTCCAGGGCACAGCAGGCATGGCATATTCTCGACACCAGAGGGGGTGCGCAGGGGGTGGTCTCTCACCGCGGCCGCTATCCGTGACGGTCGTCACAGCAGGCACATATTCTCGACACCAGGCGCGCGGGGGTGGTCTCTCACCGCGGCCGCTATCCGTGCGGTCGTCCAGGGCACAGCAGGCATGGCATATTCTCGACACCATAGGGGGTGCGCAGGGGGTGGTCTCTCACCGCGGCCGCTATCCGTGCCGGTCGTCCAGGGCACAGCAGGCATGGCATATTCTCGACACCAGAGGGGGTGCGCAGGGGGTGGTCTCTCACCGCGGCCGCTATCCGTGCCGGTCGTCCAGGGCACAGCAGGCATGGCATATTCTCGACACCAGAGGGGGTGCGCAGGGGGTGGTCTCTCACCGCGGCCGCTATCCGTGCCGGTCGTCCAGGGCACAGCAGGCATGGCATATTCTCGACACCATAGGGGGTGCGCAGGGGGTGGTCTCTCACCGCGGCCGCTATCCGTGACGGTCGTCCAGGGCACAGCAGGCATGGCATATTCTCGACACCATAGGGGGTGCGCAGGGGGTGGTCTCTCACCGCGGCCGCTATCCGTGACGGTCGTCCAGGGCACAGCAGGCATGGCATATTCTCGACACCAGGGGGTGCGCAGGGGGTGGTCTCTCACCGCGGCCGCTATCCGTCGGTCGTCCAGGGCACAGCAGGCATGGCTCTCATAGGGGGTGCGCAGGGCACTACGGTCGTCCAGGGCAGGCATGCATATTCTCGACACCATAGGGGGTGCGCAGGGGTGGTCTCTCACCGCGGCCGCTATCCGTGACGGTCGTCCAGGGCACAGCAGGCATGGCATATTCTCGACACCAGAGGGGGTGCGCAGGGGGTGGTCTCTCACCGCGGCCGCTATCCGTGACGGTCGTCCAGGGCACAGCAGGCTATATTCTCGACACCAGAGGGGGTGCGCAGGGGGTGGTCTCTCACCGCGGCCGCTATGCGTGACGGTCGTCCAGGGCACAGCAGGCATGGCATTTTCTCGACGCCATAGGGGGTGCGCATGGGGGTGATCTCTCACCGCGGCCGCTATCCGTGACGGTCGTCCAGGGCACAGCAGGCATGGCATATTCTCGACGCCAGAAGGGGTGTGCAGGGGGTGGTCTCTCACCGCGGCCGCTATCCGTGACGGTCGTCCAGGGCACAGCAGGCACGGCATATTGTCGACACCAGAGGGGGTGCGCAGGGGGTGGTCCCTCATCAGTTTCGGGCTCGCAAAGTGTGGCAGGCGTTGCATTTTCTCGACACCAAAAGGGGTGCGCAGGGGGTGGTGCCCTTATGCGGCGCGGGCTCGCAAAGTGTGGCGGGCGTTGCACCTTCTCGACACCACAAGGGGGTGCGCAGGGGGTGGTCCAACATATCCGCTTCGGGCTCGCAAATTGTGGCAGGCGTTGCACGTTCTCGACACCACAGGGGGTGCGCTGGGGCTGGTCCCCCCTATCCGTTGCGGGCTCGCAAAGTGTGGCAGGCGTTGCAGATCCCCGACGCCACAGAGGCGAACGACAATGCCAGGAGGCTGCGCTTGGAGCAACATGATATGACCACGCAGGATCTGAAATAAGTATGTGGGGTTCCTCGGTAGCATAATTATGGCTGTCGCTGGCGCGCTGCGAGACCCGAGTAGTCTCTGAGTGCTCGGCCGGGCTTCCTCGCGCGCGTCCTGCTCGGCATCGGACTCGACTTTCCTCCCCCGGCGGCAGCGCGCGAGGCGGCGACGCTAAAAAAGTGTACGTGTGTGTGTGTGTGTGTGTGTGTGTGCGTGTGTGTGTGTGTGTGTGTGTGTGTGTGTGTGTGTGTGTGTGTCTGTGCGTGTCCCTGCGCCGTTGGCGCGTGAGAGCGCCCTCCCCTCTCCCCCCCTCCCGCGGCCGCCCTCCGATGCTGCTCCCCTCTTACCTGCGGGGCACTCCGCAGCTCTGCAGCCCGCATTTGCTCCGCGCGCGAGCGGATCGCCCCTGCCGCGCCGCGACGGACAAACTGTGTATGTTGTGTGTGCGCGTGTGTGTGTGAATGTGTGTGTGTGCGTGTGTGTGTGTGTGTGCGTGTGTGTGTGTGTCTGTGTGTGTGCGTGTGCGTGTGTGTGTGTGTCTCTGTGTGTGTATGTGTGTGGGGGTTCGTGGGTGCGTGCGTGCGCGTGTTCGTGCGTGAGTGTGTGTGTGTGTGTTGTGTGTTGCGGATGTCGTGTGTGTTGTTCGTGTTGTGTGTGTGTGTTGTGCATGTGTGTGTTGTATGTGTGTGTGTGTGCTTGCGTGCCTGCGTGTGCGCCTGCGTAGTCACGTTCGTGCGTGCGTGCGTGCGTGCGTGCGTGCGTCAGTGCGAGCGCGTGCGTGCGTGCGTGCGTGTGTGTGTGTGTTGTATGTGTGTGTGTGTGTGCGTGCGTGCGTGCCTGCGTGCGCACCTGCGTGCGTGCGTGCGTGCGTGCGTGCGTCCGTGCGTGCGTGCGTGCGTGTGCTCGTGCGTGCGTGCGTGCGCGCGCGCGTGCGCGCGTGCGTGCGTCCGTGCGTGCGTGCGGGCACGCGCGCGCGTAAGCGCGTGCGTGCGTGCGTGCGTGCGCGCATGCGTGCGTGCGTGCGCGCGTGCGAGCGTTTGTGTGTGAATGTGTGTGTGGTGTGCGTGGTGTGTGTGTGTGTGTGCGTGTGCGTGTGTGTGTGTGTGTGTGTGAGTGTGTGTGTGAGTGTGTGTGTGTGTGTGCGTGTGCGTGCGTGTGTGTGTGTGTGTGTCCTGCCCCCTTTCTAACTTCTGGCTCCCAGGTTGTCCCCCGGAGCTTCACTCATCCTGGCGTTCGCTCGATTCGCCGGGCCGTGCTTGACGATCGCCCGAGCAGCGTCACTGCACCGGCCGAGTGCGCTCGAAAGTGCGTGTGTGTGTGTGTGTGTGTGCCCCGAGCAGTGCCTGCACTTAGGGGTACCTTCTCGGGGCTCCTGCGCATCTGGCTGGTCGCGCTGGGGCTTCCCCAGGATGCCGCGCGCTGCAGCCCCGTGGTCGCCTCCCGGTCGCCCCGTGCGTTGGGTGGGTCTGTCGAGGGCCCGCCGCGTTGCCGCACGCAGGCGCCCAACGGGGCGCCTTCGTGGGTGCCCCGTGCGCGCGGGGTGGCTCCGGTCGCAGGCCCCCGCAGCTTGCACCACGGAGCTCCGCACCGCACAGCCCGCACCGCACCCTGGCAGACCACAGCGCTTGCACCACACAGCTTGGACACAGCACACAGCACACACAGCACACACACACCGCTACACGCACTGCGGCACTCAGTCTGCAACACGTAGTCGACACCACATGGCAGACACCAAGCCTATTGCAAGCCCGTGGCGTACACCCGCTCGCTTGCACCACATGGCTGACGCCATGCCTGGAGCCTCGGGAGCCTCCAAATCTACACACCGTGGTCTCCAAGATTCTCAAGATGCCATCTACTCTGGCTCAATCTAGACTCCCACACGCGGAGGAATGCCCCGAAACATGCAAGATGGCTTCAAGACGTCCTGAGAGGCTTCGACATTTCGCACAAGCACCCCCGAGAGGGTCCCAAGTAGCACAAATCGTGTAATTGCATTCGTGAAGCGCATGTTGTTTGCACATTAGCCGCTTTGTTTAACCAGCGTCCAAATCGGATCCAGACGCCCGCAAAATCGCTCGAAGACCTTCGAAGACCTCCAAGCATCATCCGCAGACGGCGACAAGCCGGAAGCGCGAGAAGAGCCTCCCAAATTGAAAGAAAATACCTGGGGTCCGTGGCTCGTGTCGCATCGCCGATGCATCACCGATGCATCCGCGACGCCTTCAAGGAGAAAATCTGGCTCCGCATCGACCCGCATAGCCGATGCATCTACGATCAAAATGCTTTGCTTACCCTGTCGCCGCAGCGGTCCCAGCGACACGCTGTGCCGTGCAAGCGGGCAGCGTGCCGCTCCGCTCTGCGGCACGAGAGGCTGGGCAAATGTCGAGGCGTTGACGCTCGGGGACCGCGGCGCGGTTGGCGCGTCGCGCCGGAGCGTGGGCCAAAACCTCCGGTGGCCACTCACGACAACCTCCCATGCCATCTTGCCGGATCTCACGAAACGATGCTAGCAGCTGACCGATGATCATCGACGCTGACCCAGGCAAGGCCGACGCTAATCGACGCTCAATCGGCGCTCCTCCTCGATTCTCAGACGCCAGCGCACGATGGCGCACTCTTAAGATGGACTTGCGAGGACACATCAGGCTCCCCTGACATGCTGCCGAGAGAACCAGTGGCACGACACGCTAAACAACAACGTTCGAAAACGTACAGGCATCGCGGTAGTAGGAGGGACGCTGAAGAAGGAACGAAAGGGCTCTCTTGGCTACGGCGATCCTCTGCCACGAGCAAGTTCCAAGACCTGAACCTAAGAGATGGCCGCGAAAGCGGAGCCGCTCCTGAGCCTTTGGCGGCAACACATTGGAGCCTCCCATACCTTCCTTACGGCTCTCGCGAATTGACGATCTACGCGGCTCGACGCTAACGGACGCTAATCCGGCGCTATCCCATCGACTCCCAGACGCTAATCGACGCGAGTCGAAGCTGAAGACAGAATTGCGAGGGTACACAAGGCTCCCATGATTTGCCACCGAAAAATGATGGGCTTGTTTTCCACCGCCACAACCATAAGTAGGAGGGGGTAAGGAGGTGGAGGATGAGGAGGAGGAGGAGACGAAGAGGGGGAGGAGGCCCCCCTCCCCCCTCCAACTTATGGCGGTGGTGGTGGTGGTGGAAAACAAGCCCATCCAAAAAAGCCCCTGCCTGAGCCCCAAGCGATTCTTACTTCAGCGCCCTGGCTGCACTTCGGCCCCCTCGGGGCGGCATGGAGCGACGGAGGCCGCCTAGCGTCGCCTGGCGGGCCGCCTCCTCGCCGAGGGCGTCCGAGAGGCAGAAGGCCAGCGCGGTCCTCCGGCGGCGGGGCCCGTCGAGGAGGGAGAGAAAGACGAGGAGGAGGAGCAACAGAAAGCCGGCCCCCACCAACAGAACTCCAGAGAACTCCGTTCCCAAAAGTCCCCCCCCCCCCCGAGCTGGTGGCACTCCGTTCTGGGCATTCTCTGAGGTAGCGACGGGAACGGCGTGCCACCAGCTCGGGGGGTAGGGGGAGCGGCCAGCACCCCTAGCTGGTGGTGGTGGTTCCATGGTGAGAGGAAGAGAAACAAGAAGTTCATGGATCATTAGAAAACGACCCATGACGAAAAACTGCTGCCTTACAAAATCAACGCGCTGGGACCTGGGGCCCCTCGGGACGCTTTGGGGCACCCCAAGATAGCCAATGGCGAGGCGCAGAATGACCTTTGGTGCGTGGCTTTAGAAGACCGCGGAGCGGCACGCATCACCTACCTGCTCGCGCGACCTTCTGGAGACACGTCCGCCTCCACCTGGTGTAAACGGTGGCGCCCGATAGCTTTGCGCTGGCCGCTGTTGAGGTTCGCCCCAGACTTCGACAAGAATTCCGCAGCCGAGAGCACGCTGCGCGCTCGATTGCCGGAGCACGGCGGTAGGTTCCCGAAGCCAATCCACTGAATCCTGCGCGACCTGCGCCAAGTCCTGTCCTCGTGCCTGGCGAATCCAATAACAATCAATTTAAACAAATCGTTTTCATATGCTAGCGGGTCACTTGCCATGTACATCCCAAACCCTCGATACTGGCCCTCTTGGACTGCGATCGTGCCCGCCTTGGGGGTATGTCCTTCTTACCTGCCGCGTGCAGTTGGCGCCGCCCCTGACCAAAGGGAAGGGAGGGAAAGGGGAAGAGACAAGGGGGAGCGAGAATGATGCAGCACGAGAGAGATTTGCAGGAGGGGCTTGGGAGCAGGAGCGCAAGCGGCAGAAACGGGCGCGTCGGGTGAGCGGACCCAACAGGCAGGTCGGGCGGGCGGGCCCGGACGGCCGGGTCGAGCGGGCGGGTCGCCGAAGCGTCAGTCCTTCATGACTCGCGAGAGAGTTTCGAGCGACAACGCGATTTCCAAGGAAATCGCGAAGACATCCAGAGCCAGAGCATGATTCCTGAGTGTTGGCGGCGCGGCGCCGCAGTAAATTGCGAGGAAACACCACGCGACAGCGAAATTCCTGGATACATTGTGAGGAAGTCCCCCGCGAGAGCGCAATGTCAAATATATTGTGAGGACGTATCAGGCGGGAACCGTTGTTGTAGTAGTTCAGGGGCCAAATGGCCAACTTGAGGCGCAAGAGCTCCCCTTGCAAAAACCAGGAGGCGAGCCCCAGACGGAACACTCGAATTGAAAAACACAGAATGGGCACCAGGGAGGGGATAAACAATAACTGTCCTCTACGTCTGAAACAAAAAAACATCCAACGGAACAGCGGCAGCACCGCAACAGCTCAAAAACAAGTCGCACCGCGGAACCCCACTTCAGCCGTGCGCCCAGGGAGAGAGAATGGCCGTTCGGCCCGTCACCCTGCAATCTATATGTATACACATATATACACACGGAATTACATCTAGACATATGAATGTATATAAATATATAACCGTAGACTTTATCACACATACCTATTTACAAATACAGATGTACACGTATTTCTAATTATACATATACACATAAATATATGTATGTACGGATGCATAGATGTGTACGCTGAATCGTGGCCGCCATGTGCCACTGACTGGTGGACGAACATAGCACAGTACCGTGGACATGCTGCTGGCCCCGGCCCTCCTCTTCCTTCACCCTTGGCGGCGCGCAGAGGGGGTAGAGGTAGGGGGGGAGGCTTCTCAGAAGGAGGCTGCTCCTAAGAAGGCGCTGGCCTTACATCTACAGAGAAGGCCCACGCCTTCTAAGAAGCAGGGGTGCTTCTAAGAAGCCTGACCCCCTCCCCCTACACCTCTCTGCGCGTGGCCGACATCCATTTCCCCTCTTACTTGTAGTGGCATGACACGCTAAGCAAACGTCCCGAAACCCACCCCAGGGACATCAAGAGGTACCGCTACCGCTGCTCCTGGACATCGCACGGGGTGCATAGTGACCAAGACTCCGAGACGAATTCCGGCCGTGGCGACGAGGGTTCTCCTGAACGAGCAGCGGTATCTGTATCTTTTCCTCCCCTGATGCGGCCAGGAAAAATCAGGGTACAACCATAACGCAGTATTGTGGACATGCTCCTGGACCCGAGCCCAGACCCCCGACGCCATACTTTGTTTCATAACGTCACCCCCGGAGGTCTCGATCCATTTCCTTGGACCAGCTCTCCATCTCGAGTCTTTTGTCGACGGTCCCGGGGCACGGCAAGGGGCCCCGAGAGCCGACAATCTAGACACACCTTCCTTCTGATGTTTGCCAAAGACTCGAGGAGAGAGCATGCTGCTTCACATGAGCGTGATGCGAATTAGAGGAGAACGAATCGAATGCGTCAGTGGACCAGTCTTGCGTAGTGACGTCGAAGCTATGATGCTCCTTGTCGGTTGCGGCCCAGCTCATGACGCCGGTCTATTCCCACCCACTGCCATCGCTCGGCCGTCCATTCCCCGTGCATTGGCTGGTCTCGTGCGTGTTCCTTTCTCACGGTGATCCAAGATGTCCCGGGAGGGACCAGACTTTCTCGTGCCGACGCCGCCGAGACAAAAAAAAACACACGTCCGAGGGAAGCCAAAACCCAGGTCCGTCTCCAGGGACTTCGCATCCCGATCAAATTAGGTCGGGCATGTCCCCCTACAGGCTGATTTTGCAAGAAAACTGAGATGCCCAAAACATGTTCAACAATTATCAAAACCTAAATCGTTGCCCCACACTGTTTTCCAATTTCTTGTTTCAGAATTCCACCCATCGAGGGACAGGCCCGACTTGATGGTAGGATGGGGAGACGGTCCGCCGCCGCCGCCCGAACGACGGCGGCGGCGGCGGCCAACCCCGGACGGCCTCGGGTGGTGGCCGCCGAACGGCACGCCCGCCTCCCGGAGCACGTCGCGCAGCGCGGCCACCTGGCCGTCCTGCGGGCGGGCGGCGGCGCGCACGGGGGGGGGGATGGTGGAGGACGGAGGATGCAGGGCGGGGAAAGGAGGAGGAGCTTTCAGGGCTTTCCGCCTCTCGCAGGTGCGAGTCGGGGAAAGGAGGAGGAGGAGGAGGAGGAGGAGGAGGAGGAGCAAGAGGAAGATGAGGAGGAGGAGCTGGAGGAGGAGGAGGAGGAGGAGGAGGAGGAGGAGGAGGAGGAGCGGGAGGGTGGCGGCGCGCACAGGAGGGGGGTACAGGGGGGAGGGGAGAAGGGCTTCTTGGGAGGGGGAAGCTGCTTCTTAGGAGGCGTGGGCATTTGTCTGCAGAGGTGGGGCTGGCGCCTGCTAGGAAGCGGCCTCCTTCAAAGAAGCGTCCCCTCCTCCGCCTGCCCCCCCCGTGCGCGCCGCCAAGGAGGGTGGAGGGTCCACGACAGGGAGGGGACCAGGTCCCTGACCTTCTAGAGTGATTGCGCATAGTCCTCCAGACCTGTTGACTGATCTGGACTGCCTCAAACCTCAACAGGGACGTACACGTCTCAAGGTCCTCTAGCCATCCTGGAAAGTCAGGAGAAGGGGGGGAACATAAACGTGATATCGAGACATCCTTTGTCAAGAGCTCGGGGAGGCATCGTGGAATCCCTCGCTTGAGGTGGCCCCCCATGGTGGTGGTGGTGGTGTCGTCTCTCCTTCCTCCGATGCAGGGGAGAAGGCCGAGCCTCGTCCACGTCGTCCACATCTTCCCCACCATCCTCTCGAGAGTGCGTGAGATACCCATGAGCTGAATTTGCAAACACAAGTTTTCGGCCGGTGCTCAAGCCAGGCTGAATCACAAACAAGGAGACAGAGACAAACCTGCGCACGACGTTGCGCCCGAGGCGGGGAACTATCCACAACCGCCGTTTGGGGGATCGACCTGCGGGGACCTCGGAGGGCGGTGGATATGAACATTAGGAACATCTCAAGCTAAGAAAATGGATTTCACCCCGAACGTTTTCTCGAACAGTATTCTGGGTCCAGATCTACTAACAGTCTGAGAAAGAAACGGAGCTCCAAGAAAACGCAGAAAGGGTCCAGTCCAGATTCTTGATTTTCTTAAGCGGAACCTGGGGCCCATGGAAGCTCTTGCCTGCTCTCAAGATTTCGGATGGGTGCCATGCCTGCCCCCCCCCCGCAGGGCCCGAACATGACTTGATCCACCACCCGCAGGGGTCCCCGGATGCGGATCCCCAAGGCGGTGGTTCTATGGCTTTCCCCGCCCGGGAAGGGGGGGCCGCCTCGCCCACGCCCGTGAAAATCCCGTGAAAAGTAGGGTAGGGGCAGAGGGGGGGGGGGGAGAGCCATGGCTCTAAAACGGCTCCTGTGAAAGGACATCTGCGCATCCAACTGGGCTCGTGACCGTGCCCTGAACCCCACGAACTCGCGAGAAAAATCACGACGCTATCTTGCTTACAAATTTCGGGAACCAGCGGCCCTCACCAGGTCCTGCAGGACCGTCAAAGACGACCCATGACCCTGGATGAAGCACGGGTCCAGACCTCTGGGTAGCAACGTTAATCACAAACCACGGCGCCGCGGTGGAATAGTCTGAGCATCCTTTATCTGATCCCTATCCCCAGCGGCGTGGCCTGGGCCCCACTGGCCGATATCCCCCCCCTAGATGGGGATTAGGCCGTACCCCTCGGGTCTCGAGGGGTGTATCCCCAACTGGGGGGGTAATTTGGTGGGGGTCTCGAAGGGGATCGGGACGGGGATGGAGTCGGTTCAACGATACTGATAATCTGGGCTGGCGGAATGAGCGAAGCGATTAAAGAAGCGATGACTGGAGGATGACGGAGAACCAGCGAGCCCGACTCGTCCCGCCCTGGGGAAACCGAAAGGTAAAGGTACCGATGTCGCTGCTCCCTGGACCCCTCTTGGGGTGCTTTCTGACCAAAATCTCGAGGCGACTCCGACTGTGGGCGACGAGGGCCTCCTGGAAGGGCGAAGCAGGGGATCACGAGCCCGAAGGGCAGCGGTCTGGGCACCTGTTCCTCCTCTATCGATGCCCATGCCGCCCCCACTCCAGACAGCCCGGGAGCGCTGATCGCTGTCCTCGCTGTGACCGTTGTTGTTGCTATGCTTGTTATCGTTGCTGTCGTGCTATCGCTGTAACTGTTGTCGTTGTGGTCGTTCTCGTTGTGATCGTTGTTAGCGTTGCTCCCCCGTCCAGACAGCCAGGCAGAGGCAGGCGCGAGGCGCTCCTCCGGGCACGGCCGAACGACGTGCGCGACGTCGGGGTCGGCGGAGAGGCTGGCCCAGCCGCCAGAGTGAACCTGCGGGGCAGCGGTGGCGGGGCGACCGAACTCTACTGCGGGCAAGGGGTCTGCCCAGAAGGAGAAGGAAAGCCATAACCACAGACTTTTGGCGCTCCGCGCGGATTTCTTGGATCCGCGCTGGGGCCCCCTCCCTGGCGCGCCAGGGGAGGCGCCGGAGGCGCCACTGGGGGGGGGGGGCCCAGCAAGGATCCAAGAAATCCGCGCGCAGGGCAAAACATCATGTTTCTGTTTTTTCTTCTTCGAACGTCGTTGGCGTGCCGGCGGAAGTTTCGGAGCGCCAGAAGTTTTTCTTTATGGGGTGTTCCCTCCTTCGAATATCCCTATCCAGTGTGTCTTGGACGCTCCAGGGGAGTGGAGGCTCAGGGGAGGATGCATCGACCCCTAATCGCCCATCGGTCGCCGACAGAAGCCCGACAGCCCACCGGCCCACGGTCGCGCGGGCTCGATGTCGGGGGCCTTTCGCCGATCTATCGGCGATGCATCACCGATTCTGTAGGTCGATGCTTCCCCCCCCCTGAGCTGGTCTGCCTATGGCTTGAGGGTAAGATTTACATCCATATCCAGTGCGTCTTGGACCTCCTGGGCAGGGGCGCCACAAGGCCGCGGCGCAGTGGACGTGCGTAGAATTATGCCCCCGGTGGCCAGAATTCGATCCAGGGGATGGGAGCCCCAATCTCCAAGGTGCAACTGATACGGACACAAGTCTTGCCCGCCCCTACATATCCACTGCTCCTTGGTAAGGTCCATGCTGAAGCAAGCAGCGGTGCATCCACCATGCCCTCCTGTCTCAGTCTTAGTTCGGGCATGTCCTCCTACAGGCGGACTTTGGAAGATACATGAAATATAGTAAAAACATATTGAACAAGTATAAAGCAGCACGATAATCCTCACGAGACTATTTTTTCTATTCTTGATTTTTCTCATGTGGAGGAACATGCCCAACTTAGACTTAGTCAGGAGGGCGTATATACAACTCCTGGGCCCAGGAAGGGCCCAGCCAGGGGGCCGTATGTATGAATAGATTCCGTCGCCCGAGATAGGACGGACCAGCTCAGGGGAGGGGGGGAGAATCTGAAGGCGCCCAGGGAAACACGAAACAATGCACACATCCCAGGATTCGCCGTACTGTCCTATGCTTGCTGCGCTGTCGTTTTCCCCCCAAATTACCCTATGCTCTAATCTTCTCCTGTGGATCGACGGTTACGTGGGTCTGTGTGTCTTCCCTCCTGAGCATCGACCTGTACCCAGAAATGCTCGCCTCCCGAACAAAAAAACAGGACAGGAAACACTTGGCAACTTCCGGTCTCTTCGGGCCCCCGCCTGGTGCCAAAGGGCCACGAAGAGGGGGCATTGATCGAGGCCTCTGGTGATGGGCGTGTTCTCCACCACCACCACCAGAAGTTGGACTGGGGGAAGGCGGATGAAAACGAGGAGGAGGAGAACGAAGAGGAGGAGGAGGAGGAGAAGGAGGAGGAGGAGGAGGAAAAAGAGGAGGAGGAGGACCCCCACCCCCTCCAACTTATGGTGGTGGTAGTGGAAAACAAGCCCATCATGGTCTGGGTGTCGACGTCATGAACAGAAGATGATGACGTCGGGGGTCTGGGATGGGGCGGTGCGGTAAGATTTCTATCCACATCCAATGCGTCTTGGAGACTCCGGCTCCGTTTCCCAGGAAACAATATGCGCGGTGGACATGGATAAACATCTGGCCCCCAGAGGCTACATTGTCATCCATATCCACTGCGCCTCGGCCTTGTGGCGCCCCTGCCCAGGAGGTCCAAGACGCACTGGATATGGATGTAAATCTTACCCTCAAGCCATAGGCAGACCAGCTCAAGGGGGGGGGAAGCATCGACCTACAGAATCGGTGATGCATCGCCGATAGATCGGCGAAAGGCCCCCGACATCGAGCCCGCGCGACCCTGTGCGACGTGGGCTGTCGGGCCTCTGTCGGCGATCTATGGGCGATTGGGGGTCGATTCATCCTCCCCTAAGCCTACCCACCCCTCACGTTGCCTCTGAGAGCCTGGCACAGGGTGTTCTTACGCATACGTATACCATTGGAATGAAGCGATAATTGCCGCTGCCCCTGCCTGGTTCCCCCCTCTGGGGGCCTCCTGAGAGGCCCTCTCTGCCACGGCTGGATTCTCACCAACACCCAAATCAGAATGCACCCCCGGAAAGGTCCAGGGTTAGATCGGGAGTGTCCTCGTACAGGGGGAATGGGACGAACAATAAAAATTATCCTGGCGAAAGACCCAACCATATGCAGTTGTGAGTGCCGCAATTGTGAGTACCTTCTTCGGTGGCGCTCCCTATGGGGCCACGCACCGCATGAGGGGTATGCCGAAATATGGCGGGGTACACAACGCAAAGGAATACGATAGGTCAGATTACGACAGAATGAACGCGGGTGAGCCAGAGCGCGAGAGAGTCTGAGTGTGAATGGGTATGCGTGGGAGTGAGTATATTTGCATGAATGCGATCTTGGCTACGCCTAGTGTAAATGTATATGAATGTGAACGGCTCGAGCATGCCTGTCCGAACACTCGTGACACTGGGCGTGGCCGCCGCAGGCAGCTTCCGCGGGAACCCCGACGGCAGCGCCCGCGCGCCGCGACGCCCATGTCGGCACGCCCCTCACGGGGATCGCACCCGCTTCCGCCCCTTCTTTTCCCCCCTCTTTGCCTGCGCGCTCCAAAAATCCAAAGCTGCGGGCGCAGAGCAGCGCGGAGTCCCCGCGACGCGCGCAGGTCGCCGCGGAGGGGTCCCAGCGACGCGCGCAGGTCGTCCGCTGCGCGGAGCACAGAGAGCTAGCCGGCCGGCTGATTGCGGGCAAGGCTCCGGCCGCTGGGCAGAGCGACGGCGGGCGAGCGGGGCGCTGAGCAGAGCGCCGCGCGGAATCCCCGCGACGCGCGCTGGTCGCCCCGAGAGGGCCCCAGCGACGCGCGCGGGTCGCCCGCGGCGCGAGGCCGATCAATTATGCAGGCAGTCGAGAGAAGGCGCGGCTCGGGGGGGGCACTCCTCAGGTCAGGCCTCGCGGATAAACTCGGTGAAGCCGAGCTCCCTGGCGAGGGCCGTCGCCTCCCTCCTGCACCGCTTCGTGCGCGCTGCAAACTGCTCCAGCTGCTTTCGCAGGCCCTCCGGCGGTCCTGCCAGGAAGAACTCGACGCGCGGCGCCCGCATGAGCAGGAGGTCCTCGTGGCGCGTGGCGCGCGAGAGCAGCGCATAGAGCTCCAGCCACCAGTCGTCGTCCTCCTTCTTGCCGTCCCCGACCTCGTGGCGGCCGCAGTCCAGGATCACACCTGGGCGACTCGGCCGAGGGAGCAGTGCGCCGGGCAGCCGACGGCCCAGGGCGAGAGTCCACAGGACCGAGGTCTGGCCGAGGACTGCTCGCGCCCCGGAGGTTTGGCCGTCCCCGGAGCGCCGTTCCCCCGCCCCGTCGCCTTCGCGCATGGTGCGCCCCTGGCACGCCACCGCGGTGATGACCCTGCCGTGCGAGAACGGGAAGCCCGTCCGCGTGACCTTGGAGGTGCGGAAGGTGAACGGCTCCGACGCGCGGGGCTCGATGAACGCCAGCGGGCCCGCGAGGTCCCCCGTGAGGCTGTCGTCGCGGCGCTTGAGGTCGTCCACGAAGGGCGCGCTCGCGTACTTCTCCATGCGCACCCAGAACCCCAGCGGCAAGCGCTTCAGGTAGATCCTCTTCTCCCCCTCTCTCTCGGCTCTCTCGACGTCGTCCCGATCTCGAGGGTCCACGACGATGTGCACGATCTGCCCCTCGGCATCCTTGACGGGGCCGTTCTTGAGGTCGAGCGCTTCCAGGAGCCGGATCCACATGCCCACGTGCACCGGGAGCAGCCCGTGCATGCCACCGGTGTTCTTCGGGTTGGCACAATTCATCATCTTGGCGGCGTCCTTGACGCTCATCGTCGGCGCAGACCTGTCGGCGGCCTGCACGAGGAAGAGGGGTTTCTTCAGAACGTCCGCGTCCCGCTGAGCACGCATGTTCATCCACCGCGCCACGGTGTCCCAGTAGGACCCGATCATGCGGCCGTTCTGGAACCTCTCCTCCCGGAGCCGGCGATCATCGGGTTTCAGCTGCATGGCGTTCCACGCGGCCCGGATGGCCGGAGGGGCCTGCTTGGACCTGAGATGGAGCTCCCTGTGGGGCCACGAAACGTGTGAAGGGGTGCCATGCGAACTGCACCACTGGGACCTTAGGTGCAACTCCCTGAGGGGCCACGAAACGTGTGAGGGGTGTGCCAAAAAGGGGCGGTGGCGCCATGCGAGCTGCGCCACTTGGACCTCAGGTGGAGCTCCCTGAGGGGCCACGAAATCTGTGAAAGGTGTACCAAAATGGGGCGGTGGCGCCATGCGAGCTGCGCCACTTGGACCGTAAATGGAGCTCCCTATGGGGCCACGAAATCTGTGAGGGGTGTGCCAAAAAGGGACGGTGGCGCCATGCGAGCTGCGCCACGTGGACCTTAGGTGGAGCTCCCTATGGGGCCACGAAACGTGTGAGGGGTGTGCCAAAAGGAGCTCCCTGAGGGGCCACGAAATCTGTGAGGGGTGTGCCAAAATGGGGCGGTGGCGCCATGCGAGCTGCGCCACTTGGACCAGGTGGAGCTCCCTGAGGGGCCACGAAACGTGTGAGGGGTGTGCCAAAATGGGGCGGTGGCGCCATGCGAGCTGCGCCACTTGGACCGTAAATGGAGCTCCCTATGGGGCCACGAAACGTGTGAGGGGTGTGCCAAAATGGGCGTGCGGGACGCATGCGGGCACACCCACTGGGACCTTCGGTGGAGCTCCGTATGGGGCCACGAAACGTGCGATGATGGCGACGAGGACAACGATGATGGTGATGACGACGATGATGGTGATGATGACGATGATGGTTATGATGGCGGCCATGATGTTGATGCTGATGACGATGATGATGATAATGATGATGATAATGATGATGATGACGATGATGATGATGATGATGATGACGATGAGGATGATAGGAGGGGAGAGGGGGCGGAGGAGAGGAGGAGGAAGGAGACGCGGGGCACCATCTCTTCAAAACGAGGACCCAACACCACAGGATGGTTGGGAACAAAAGAACACCCCAAATGGTCAAACATAATCCAAAAATGATAAAACAATCGTCCCCAGACAATGTTGTTCACTATTTTTGAATATTCCTCCTGTTGTAGAGGGACATGCCCGACTTAAGTCCAGGGAGCAGCGGTATCAGAATTTGTTGGTCCCCCCACTGTTTTTGTAATACATGGGGGCGTTCCAGAAAGTGCCTCAACAACGTGGGACCGGGATGGTGGCATCTCTTCATTGGCGGAAGGCGACGAAGGGCGGTGGAAGTCAGACGAGGACGGCTCCGCCAAAGCAAATAAACATCTGCCTTCCAAAAGATGTCGCGCAGTTTTGGATTCGCGGGTTCCGGAACGAGCCATGTGCACCCGTTGTTCTATTCATGGTCTACGGCCTTGCCCCCTCCCTCCCGAATTCGGGGGCGTCCGACGGGGGGGCGCCCAAGAGGGAGGAGGTTCGAAGAAATGTGTGCGGCCCAGGGGAGGGCCAGGAGGCATAGACTGATCAAGCGAGTCGGCGTGACATGTGGGGAGATATCATGGCCCCGGCCATGAGATCCCCCCACCCAGTCTTAGGTCGGGCGTGTCCTCATACAGGCGGGTTTTGGACGAACCAAAAAAAAACATAGATCCAAAGCATCGTCCCCAGACCATTTTTTATACTATGATTGAATTGTCCTCCTGTAGAGGGACACGCCCGACTCAAACCTAGTCATCACCCGCCTGTTGGACGCCCCCGACAGATCCTCCCCGATGGCGTTCCTCCGCCTCCCCCCTCCCCGTGCACGTCCTCGTCCTGGCTTCTCCTCCTCCTCTTCCCCTTGGTGTACGCCCCATGGGAGCCTCCTACGTTGCCCCCGGCGCTACCCGATGTGCATCTGATTGCGACCGGATTTTGAACACATTGTGGACCAGATTGGGAATATATTCGCCCCTTCACAAGGGAGACGAGAAGAACAGTGATGTGGAGCAGGCACAGGAGGAGCGAGGAGGAGGACGAGGAAGTGCCAAAAGCGGTCCAAATGCCATCTGCAGAGAAAGCTGACTTCAACATCGTTGCACAAGGCTCCCATGAACGGATATTGATGTTCCTCTTCCTCCATCCACGTCCCCCATTCCTCGTAGCGGCATGACACGCCCCGCAAAGCGTCCCAGAGCACATCGCAAGGAAACCAAACATTACCCATATCGCTGCTCTCGGAGCTCCAGGGGTGCGATCTGGCCAGGATTCCAGGCCGAATCCAGCCGTGGCGACGAGGGCTCTCCGAAAGGAGCAGCGGGATTGGCATTTTGTTTGAGCAGGGACCCACCGTTTCCTATGAGCCTACAACGAAACTTTCTTAGAACCCCAGAATGTTCTAAGAACGAAGACGGTGTTATTAGAACTTAAGCCAAACAGCCCCAGCCAGAAATGTTCTACGAACATTTCGCGCGAATCACCAAAAACTCTTAGAACATTCTCTGGTGGGCCTATAGGCGAGCCGGGAAACTTCGCCACTGCTTGACTTGTCCTCCTCTGGCCAGAAACTTTTGCTTCACGTGCCACTATGGCGGCCCCGGTGAAACACGCTGTGCTCTGCAGGCGGCTTTGGCGTGCCGCTCCGCCTCGCGGGACGGAGAAAGCTTGGACAGGACTCGACGGCGGCGAAGCCCTGGGCGACGACGACGTGGCCCAGGAGAGCGCCGAGGGCGACGAGGACGCGATCGACGAGGCCGACGACGCCGAGGACGAGGCCGACGGGCACGACGAGGACGACCACGGCGAGGCCCACCGCGCGCGACCACGACGACGCCACCGACGAGGGCGGCGCGGCGCCTGCGCTGGCCGCCTCGCCGCCAGGAGCGCCAGGCCGAGCACCGGCAACGACCAGCTGCCGGTGAGCACGGTGGAGTGGCGCTGCTCGGGCAGACTCTGCAGGACCCGGCTCTCGCCCCCGCCGAGGGGGGCACCCCGCACCGCCCTCGTCGCCGTGGTCGTCGTCGTCGTCCACGGCGGTGTCATCGACGTCGCACTCGTCATTGTCGTCGTCGTCCTTGTCGTCATTGTCGTCGTCGTGGTCGTCGTCATCGTCGTCGTCGTCGTCGGCCTCGCCATCGTCGACACCGAAGGTCGTCGTCGTCGACGACGTCGTCGTCGTCGTCCACGGAGACGTCGTCCACGGCGCCGTCGTCGTCGTCGTCGTCGTCGTCGTCGTCGTCGTCACCGTCGTCGTCGACGTCGTAGTCGTCGTCGTCGTCGTCGTCGTCGTCGTCGTCGGCATCGCCATTGCGGACACCGACGTCGTCGTCGGCGTGGCCGACGTCGTCGTGTCCACGGAGACGTCGTCGACGGCGTCGTCGTCGTCGGTCTCGCCCTCGTCGACACCATCGTCGTCGCAGCCGTCGTCGTCGTCGTCGTCATCGTCGTCGGCCTCGCCGTCGTCGACACTGGCGTCGTCATCGTCGTCGACGTCGTCGTCGCCATCGTCGTCCACGGCGTCGTCGTCGTCGTCGTCGACACCGACGTCGTCGTCGTCGTCGTCGGCGTCGTCCCTCTCTCGTCGCTATCTTGGCCGCCGCGGTCTGGTCGTCGTCGAGGTCCAGCCGTCAAACCCGTCGCCGCCGCTGCCCTCTCAGTCGTGGTGGTCGCGTCCGTCAGAGTGGTGGTCGCGTCCGCCCTCTCAGTCGTGGTGGTCTCGGGCGGGCTCGCGGGCTCTACAGAAAGGCGGACGTCGCTCCCGCTGGCTTCGAGAACGATCGGACGTAGCTGTACGTCGGGCCTGTTCCTCTGCAGGAGGAATACTCAAACATAGTCAGAAAATAGTCCTGGGACGATTTTCTTTTACTACTTCTGCATATGTGTAAGCATTGTTTGACTATTTTGCATCTTTCTCTGGAAATCCGCCTTTAGGAGGACATGCCCGACCTAAACGTAGCTGAACTGCCTTCGACGGGGAGGGCAGACGTCCCTGCAGATGGGGCAGGTGCGCCGGTAGCACGCAGGCCTCTCACGAAGGCTGTTGAAGGCGGGGTCTGCGGGGTCGAACCGGTCAGCGCCAGGCGTGCTGCGGAAACAGCTGCTCGCTCTCTTGCCCTGCGATCTTTATCTCTTGGTGCAGTCTCGATATGCCTCACCCTCAAACGTGCTACAAAAGTAATTCAACTCTTGTCGTTCGAGGTCAACGTTCGTCGTTCGCCGTTGTCGCCGTCGAATCTTCAAGTTGTCGTCGCCGTCGCTCCCTTGTCGCCCTCGGCCCCACAACGGGCTGCAAACGTAACTGAACTCTCTTCGCCGCCGCTGGCGATGGAGGATGGGGGGCCCGGGACGTTGTGAAGGATTGGGGCGTTTCGGGATGATTTTCGGACGATTTGAAGGATTGGGGCGTTTCGGAACGATGTGAAGGATTTGAAGGAACGATTTGAGGATGGGGGACCCGTGGCGTTGTGAGGATTGGGGCGTGCTGGGAGCTTTTCCGAGGATTGGGGCGTTTCGGAACGCCTTGAAGGCTGATCTGGGTTCCAGGCGGGCCTTTCCCGGGGCGCGTTCTGGCCAGGAGTTCGAGGCGAATCTCAGCCGTGGGTACGAGGGAGGGGTAGCGACATCGGTACATGTTTTCATGTGTCTTATTCTTCCTTGTAACCATTATTCTTCATATTGGTATCATGGGTTATGTTTATACTTACGAATGATGATCTGACCAGCACTCGTGTTTCTATCTCTCGTACTCGTGTCATAATAGCGGCTCTTAATATTAGAGAGAGCGTGATCCACCGCCACTTTACTGTGGAAAATTGCCGCCCTTTTCCTCCGGAGCCCGGGGTTCCCACCCCCCCCCTCCCGAAAATCCCCCCCCCCTCCTGGAACCCCTCCCCCCCCCCTTCCCCCGGCAAAACCCCCCCCCCCACCCCTACCCCCCCCCCCTCGAACTCGAAAACCGGGGGGGTCACTACCGGTTCGAACCCCCCCCCCTCGAAAACCGGAGGGGGGGGGGGGGTACCGGTTCGAACCCCTCCCCACCTCCCCTCTCACCTCCAGCAAACGACTCCCGGTCCCTACCACCGTCCTCACCACATCCCCCACTGTTGTTCCCAGCGCCACTGTCCTCACCACCACTGTCCCCACTGGTTCCACCACCGCCCCTACTGTCCCCACCAGTGCCACCACCACTGTCGCACTGTCCCCCACTGTCCCCACCACTGTTCCCACCACGGCTCCACTCTCCCAACTTTCTCCACGACTATCCCCACTGTCCCCACTGTCCCACTGACTCCTCCGCTGTCCCACTGAGCTGTCCCACTGTTCCCACCACTGTCCCCACTGTCCCCACCACTGTCCCCACTGTACCTCTGTCCCATTTTCCCACCGCCGTCCTCGCCACCGCCTTCACCACTGTCCCCACCACCACTGTACCCTCCACTGTCCCACTGTTTCCACCACATTCCCACTGTCCCCACACCACTGTCCCCACTACCACCGTCCCCACCACTGTCCCACTGTCCCCACTATTCCCACCATTGTCCTCACCATTGTCCCCACCACTACCGTCCCCACCACTGTCCCACTGTCCCCACCATTGTCCCGTTGTCCCCTCACCACTGTCCCCACCACCACCGTCCCCACCACTGTCCGCACCACCCCTCGGTTTTCGAGGGGGGGGGGGTTCGAACTGGTAGTGACCCCCCCTGGTTTTCGAGTTCGAGGGGGGGGGGGTTCGAACCGGTAGTGACCCCCCTCCTTTTCATGATGAACTGGGGGGGGGGGGGGAGGGGTTCGAACCGGTAGTGACCCCCCACGGTTTTCCAGAGGGGGAGGGGGAGGGGTTCGAACCGGTAGCGACCCCCCCCCGGTTTTCCGCCAGCACGCTCTTTCTAATATTAAGAGGGTGTCTTCTCTGTTGTTTCTTCGTCCGAGCTTCTGCGAGGCAGGAGGTGTCGCACTGCTTTTGCGGGAGGATGTTCTCCGCTGTTTCGCCCTCGAGGCACGCCCTTTGGCCAGCCGCAGATCGACCCGGGATGGAGCGTGGGAAGGGGGTAGGACGCCAATTTGGGGCAGTATCCATTCGGGGGCGAATCCTGCTGCTCCTCCTCCTCCTGCTCCTCCTGCTCCTGAACCTGCTCCTCCTCCTCCTCCTCCTCCTCCTCCTCCTCCTCCTCCTCCTCCTCCCCCTCCTCGTCATCCTCCTCACTCACTCCCACCCCTCATCCTTCTCCTCCTACTACTCCTCCTCATCCTTCTCCTCCTCCGCCTCCTCCTCCTCCTCCTCTCGTCCTTCATCGCCACGTTGCTCCGTCTTCCACTTTCCTTTATCCTTTCGTATCCAGCCAATTAGCATTCAACCTCCCTGTTATCATCCATCATCCAACCTCCCTTTCATTGGGGCGAGCTCTCCTCCCTAGTCTCATCCAACCTCCTCATTGCTCTTCTGATGCTGCTGGGCTCTGTCCATTGCTGCCGGGCTCTGCTCCCCGACCTCGTGCTTCTCCCCCCTGCTCCTCCGAATGCCTCCTCCATTCTTCTCTGCCGCCCGCCCCCCCTCCCCTCGCTCTCCCACTCCACTCCCAAGTCCACCCGCCTCCTTCACGCGTCTCACTACTGCCCCCCCTCCTCCTCCTCCTCCTCCTGCTCCTCCTCCTTCTCCTGCTCCTCCTCCTCCTGCTCCTGCTCCTGCTCCTCGCCCTCCTGCTCCTCGTCCTCCTCCTCCTCCTCCTCCTCCTCCTCCTCCTCCTCCTCCTCCTCCTCGGCATGATGGCCGCGAACCGAACCGAGAACCGAGAACCGGGTCTGGAACAGAACTGGCCGAACCGAACCGGCCGGCCAAACCGAACCGGCCGAACCGAACCGGCCCGCTGCGCGAACCGAGCCGGCCGAACAGAACCCGCGGAAACCGAACCGGCCGAACCGAACCGGCCAACCAGGCGGAACCGAACCGGCCGAACCGGACCAGACCGGCGGAACCGAACCGGCCGAACCAGAGTGGGCGGCCGATGGCCGCCCACTCCAAGTCAGGACCCCAGGACCCGCTCGAACCTTGAAACACCTCACGACCCAGGACCTGGACCCAGGACCCCAGGACCCGGTCCAGACCCCCCCGGTCCGGACCCCCCCGGTCCGGACTCCCGGGGGACTGGACCCGGGTCCGGAACCCCCGGTCCGGACCTCCCCGATCCAGACCCCCCCGGTCCGGCCCCGGGGGTCCAAACCCCCCCGGTCCGAACCCCCCGGATCCATGCCCCTCCGGTCCAGACCCTCGGAGGTCTGGACGCCCCCAATCTGGACCCCCCCGGTCCGGACCCCCGGGGGTCCAGACCCCCCCGGTCCGGACCTCCCCGGCCCGGGCCCCCCCAGCCCGGACTCCCCCGGCCCGGACCCCCCCGGTCCAGACACCTGGGGGTCCGGACCCAGTCTGGACCCCCGGGTGTCCGGACCCCCCGGTCCGGACCCTCCCGGTCCGGACGGGTCCGGACTCCCCCAGTCCGGACCCGGGGGTCTGGGCCCCCCCGGTCTGGACCCCCCCGGTCCGGACCTCCCGGTCCGAACCCCCCGGTCCGGACTCCCCCGGTCCGGACCCCCCCGGTCCAGACCCCCAGGGGTCTGGACCCCCCCGGTCCAGACCCCCGGGAGTGCGGACCCCCGGGGTCCGGGCCCCCCCGGTCCGGTCGTGGTCGTGGTCGTGGTCGCGGTCGTGGTCGTGGTCGCGGTCCCTCGCCCCCACTGTCCCCATCCCCGTCGGGGCTGCCGATCGGGACGGCCTGGAATCGAAGCGAATCGAAATCGGGCTGACTGAAATCGCCTCTGCATAAATTCGAACCGGCCGAACCAACCGAACCGAACCGGCCGAACCGGACCGGTCGGAACACATAAAACCGGTCGAACCGAACTGGCCGAACCGAACCGGTCGAACCGAACCGGCCTACGACAAAGAACCGAACCGGTCGAACCGAACCG